GGTACTGCATGTCAATGTGGGTCAACAAGGGTCACGGCGGCAAGGAGGTAATATACATGTGATTGAATCATCAAGAGAGGAGGCGAGGGCAGGTATTGCAGATGAGGCATGAGTCATGAGGCATGACGCATGATGCATGAGGCATGCATGAGCATGAGCCATGAGCCATGCATGCTGCAAATGCCCAATGCACCATGCAACATGCAACACACACCATGCACCATTCACCATGCACCATGCATGCACCATCACCATGCACCATGCGCGGCGACCCATGCACCATGCACCATGCACCATATGCCATGCACCATGCACCATGACCCATGCACCATGCACCATGCACCATGCACCATGCACCATACGCCATGCACCATGCACCATCACCATACACCATACACCATGCACCATGCACCATCACCATGCACCATGCACCATACGCCATGCACCATACGCCATGCACCATCACCATGCACCATGCACCACGCACCATGCACCACGACCCATGTGACGATTGCTCAAGGATGGCTGTGGAGGCAGTGGATGGATGCAAGAACCAGAGAGAGGAGGGCAACGAAGAGGAGAGCGAGGGAGAGGAGTGAGGGAGAGGGGAGTGGGATAGTTATTGGGAGGCTATAGTGGGGATGGGAAGATTAGTGGTAGGCAGTGTAAGGAAAACTGTGTGAGACGCGATGCTCATGACAGGTGAGGATGAGGGCGAGAGAGCACATAGCACAAGAATCTCCTCGCAAAGAGGGGCATACGGTAGCGCGAGCTCGAAATGGAAGTATGGGTAAACAAATGATCATGGCAGGGTAACTGTGCAAAAGGTGTTGGCTCATTCTGGTCTCCGTTCCTCGTTAGCCTGACATGCCCGCCAGGGACTAACTCTTCGGTGGATAACGGGTTGTGGATCATCCACTCCGTCGGAGTAAACATTTCATCGCCAGCGAGATTCGAACTCTGCCGTCAACTTCGGAACAGGTCACGTGAAACTAAGTCTGAAAATGACCTAGTCGGAATTCCGAACTTGTGATAGCACGATGTTTGACTTGTATGGCTAGGACAAGGAAGAGCATCACCTCAGGATTATCCTAGTCGAGGTTCTTGCACATCTCCTGTAGCCACACTCTGATAAATCTCATAACTCCTCATTATGCCCACTCTTGTTCACCAGTCATACCAGAAGCGTTGAGCTGTGCCCTGTGTCAGAGGGCCCATTCGCTCTCTGTGGCTGCCCTGAATATACCTGCAAGTGTGTTTACTTCCCCTTCCCCCCACTCCTCTTGGCCTGAATGCCCATCCCTCCCAGCAGCTCCACCACTCGCTCTGCCACGTCCCCCTGCCACCACAGCAGCGAGCACATGGGAGGGATGGGGGCAGGGACGGGAGAGAGGTAGCAAGAAAAGGGGGGGTGGGAGGTAAAGCGATTGTAGGGAGCTTAGGGATTGTAGCTAGGAGTTTTGTCCAAATGTGCGCTTCTGAGCAGAAGTCCTCCCACCCAGCACTTCCTTTGCCACTTAGCCTGCACCCAACACGTACTCACTCTCTAGTGCGCTGCGTGCTCTGCTGCCCTGTGTGTGCGCATTGGTGGTCGTTACGAACACAGTCTCGGTACAACAACTCTTTGATGGAATTCCGGGTCAGTGTGAGTCAATTCTGGTAGCTGCTTGATATTGCAGGTCAATGGAGGTCAATGGAGGTCAATGCTGGTCACCACAGGAAGGAGGGAACATCCATGTGAACGATTTATCAAGGGGGCGAGGGCAGGAATTGCTGACGAGCCTTGAAAGCATGAGGCATGAGACATGAGCAATATGCCATGTGGCGAGCCATACTCCATGCAGCATGCCCCATGACCCATGCACCACGCCCCATGACCCATGCACCACGCCCCATGACCCATGCACCACGCCCCATGACCCATGCACCACGCCCCATGCACCATGCCCCATGACCCATGCACCATGCGCCATGACCCATGCGCCATGACCCATGCGACGATCGGGTGACGCAGAGGAAGCCTGTGGAGGCAGTGGAGTGAGGATGCATGCATGCATGCACCTGCAGAAGCCTATGGTTCCATTCATACTCCAGTTCAGTGTGGGGGATGCAAGAAGAGGGGCGGGAGGTCAGTGCGGGGGGGGAGGTCAGTGTGGGGGGGAGAGGTCAGTTGGGGGGGGAGGTCAGTGTGGGGGGGGAGGTCAGTTGGGGGGGGGAGGTCAGTGTGGGGGGGGGGAGGTCAGTTGGGTGGGGGGGAAGGTCAGTGTGGGGGAGCTCAGGAGGGGGAAGAGTGGTAGTGACGAAGAGGGAGAGGAGAGGGGAGTTAAGACGAGAAGAGTTTGGGAGAGCCGATAGTGGGGATGGGAAGATGGGTGGAAGGCATTAAAGGGAAGGGTGAGAAAGGGAGGAGGCGATGGTGCTTACAGGTGAGGATGAGGGTGAGACTACACTATACAAAAAAAATCTCCGTACAAAGCGGAGCATAGGCGGAGTGGGGGTCGCGAGTATGGGTCAAGGATAATGAATGGCAGGGTAGAGAAGCAAAAAATTGGTGGCTCATATCGGTCTCCGTTCCTCATCAGCCTGACATGCCCGCCAGGGACTAACTCTTCGGTGGATAACGGGTTGTGGATCATCCACTCCGTCGGAGAATTCATTTCATCGCCAGCGAGATTCGAACTCTGACCGTCAACTCATGATCGGGTCACGATAAACTTCTGCTGAAAATACTAGAGTCGTTTTCCCGACCACACCACCACACAGGTGAGCAAGGCAGGTAAGGGGGTGTCTAAGAACCATCAACGGTTTTTGTGTTGTTCAAGGAAACTCCTAGCTCTAGTGACACAACATAGACAAGACAATAATAAAAAGGACTTCTCACAAGGCAGTAGTGGGTACTCAAACTTTCTTGGACTCTAACTCACGGTTCTCACCTTAAAATTATCGTAAAGTTCTAGGTTCTTGCGCTGCATCCTGCTAGCACACTCTGATTACTCTCAGAAGTCCTTTATTTGCCCACTCTTTTACCAGTAGCGTTGTGCAGTGCACGGTGCGAGGAACAAGAGAGGTCGCAAACTGTTGCTCTCTATTGCTGCCCTGAACGGCGACACCATATTCCCTTCATCACTCACTCCCTCACTCCCCCTTCACTCCCTCCCTCACCTGCAATTCGATGCATCCGTCTTTCACGGCGCCGCCACTCCCGAGCGCCACTTTCAGCTTCTTCAGCAGAGCTGCCACCTCAGCATCGCCGCCGGCCAATCGCAGCCCCTCCACCACCGTCACCGTCTTCCCGCCACGTCCGCGGCGCGTCGCCTGCACCGTTACTCCGCCGCCCTTCGCAGAAGCCCCGGTCTTTCCTCCTTGCTGGCTTCCACTTTTTCCGGAAGGTGCGCTTCGTCTCGGCTCGGCGCGCTTCCTTCCGCCACCCGCGGTTCGTGATTCCCTGTCTGTTCTTCCGCTGGAATCACTTTTGCGAATAATCACAAAATCGTCGGCGTTCCCAGTAGTCCGCACCGAGCCGCCAATATCTGAATCGCTATCATCGCGACCGTCCAATGGTTCTGCCGCACTGCTGCCAAGGGGAAAGCTTCGCTTCAGGTCGGCAAAAGGGTTTCCGCTTTGCGAGGTTGACGTACTTTGCGACGGACGACCGGCAAATGCGGTAATCACAAGGTAGCTCGAAGATGTGATTGAGGAGGGCAAAGCGTTTGACGGCGAAACTGCCGGACGGTGGCTGGCAAGCTCTCCGCAAATGACGGAAGAAGCAATGAAGCTGGAGGATAGTGAAAGTGAAGCCATAATTGTGAATCTGCTCCGGCAGACAGAATATGTTGGTCAAGCATTGTACGCTTTAGTAGACTGGGTGCTTTAGCTGCTTGGATTCATGTTCCGCGTGCATTCTCGCTCTGAATCACAATATGAACATTTTTTTTTCCTCGTAGACTTGACAGGCTTGTTGCAGGCAATCTGGTGGTGGACAATTGCCAGTTTGCTGTCCACGTCTTGTTGCTTTTGATACACGTCCCCATCGGATTCGATCACCGTCTGTTTGCATCTTCACCTCGCCGAGACCTTTCGATCCAGGTGACATGGCAGCCCAGTCAGCTTCTCACCTGGGCTGCCACGCAATCACGAGCACGTGGATCACGGATGTTCCAGATGTTTCGGTGCCTTGCCTGTAACGAGGGTTGACACACGACGGCGAGTAGTAGAACGCCATTTCAGAAGCAGCAAGAGTAGCTTCACCCACTTTCACAATCGCACGTGCCGCGGCATACGAAAGGGAACACCTAGTGCTGAAAGCACCGTAGCGTAACGCGTGGAAAGGTACCAATTATTTATGCGCAACACGTCTCACCGTACTCAACCGTAAGCTCACAAAGTTTGTTCTGTTGTTGCTTGCCTGAACAACCAACCAACGGTAAAGAGGAGCTGAGTTATGTCGTGTCGTCTCATACCAAGAGCCTCTTATTATTTTCTTGGCATACCTGTTTGTATTAGACTACCTGTTCTCCAGTTTACTTCTTTTTGCCATTTCATATTTCAGTTCGGACTAGTCTGCATCGCCATTGTTGATCTAGACCGTGAGAAGTTGTACCGGAAGGACAGGGGCCATGGACACGCTTCGTGTTTCCACGCCGACGGCATTGTCGTCCCTAGTGTTATCCCCGTTACGAGCGCCTTCGTTAGTGTCACCGAATCCCGGCGCAGTTTCGGGTTTTCCCCAGCGCCTCTGCGTCTCTGCTGCCATCCACCATTCAGACAGCAACAGAGCTCCTTTCTCCGAAGCTTCCGCGCTGTCGCACCGGCACGCCTCGTCCCCGCTCTCCGTCCCGCTCCCCCCTCGCACCATCTGTCAAGCGGCGAAAAGACCAATCACCAGACGCCACGTGGCGACGAAAGACGCAGTGGACGGAGGCTCCGCCAGCGACGGCGGCGGCGGCGGGAGCGGGGAGGAGAGCGATGAGGACGAGGAGGTGGCGACGCTGGTGCGAGGGATGACTTTCGCGGAACTGTGCGACGACTTCGAATGCGTGAGCAGCCCCGCCGTTGAGCGAACGGCGAAACAGCTGGCGAGAGACATTCACGACATGCGCGAAGACAAGAGGACGCTGTCGTGCTTCGCCATCAATTCAAAATACTCGGTAAGGCGAATGTGAGACGCGTTTCAAACGAGCGTACAGCGAGCGTGTTAAACGTCATACTGACGAGGGGGGACCCCGCGAGCATATCGAATCATCAACAACGTCGGTTTCTGGCCAATCAGAAAGCTTTCGGGATAAGCCTCGGCCACACACGTTGCCTGTCAGCATCGCCGGTTTTGCCGGTCTTAATATAACCCGCTCCACTCATCACTCCTCTCAGCTTTCTATTCCCCAACTCCCTGGCGCGCTTTCAGACTTGTCCAATCACTCACGTGTACGACTCCTTGATTATGAGTCCTTTGAGTCGACTCAAAAGTCAGCTTGATTCTGACGTTCCTCCCATCTGAGCTGCACTCGCCATCTGTTCCCGACGTTCCTCCCCTAGGACTCAATCCGGTCCTTCACGGGTCGCGACAAATACCGCCGCCTTTCGTGGATCCGCAGCGCGCTTCAGAACTCCTCAGTGGTGAGCATAGCAGGCCTGGCAGCAGCGCGCTTTGTATTCTCATCACTTGTTCCTTACATAGTGATTCTATTCCGACTGATGCGCTGCTGCCGTGTGGCATGATGGCCAAGAACAACCTAATCACCTAATTACCTACTCACCTACTCACCTAGTCTTGTGGCTTAATCTCTTGTTGTTTGGGACGTCCCAAAATACGGGAATAACAACCAGGCCAGGGGTCTCTTACGGTAGTTTACCTCTTAAGCTCGTTCATTGCGGTACGTGACGTCAAAACTGAATATGACTCGTCCATCCCCTCGTCTTCTCACCTTCGTCCCGCTTTTTTACACTCTTGAAACAGAGTCGCCTTGGATGAGTCATCATCGCTCTCCTCCCCCACTCCCCCCTCTTCCCCGCCCCCGCCCACCCCCCACCCCCCTCCTTCCCTCCCCCCCCGTTTTGCGCACACCCGGCCGGTCTCCCCCGCTCTCCACCCACCCGCCCCCTCCCCCCCACCCCGCTCCTGAGCGCAGCACATGCTGGGAATGTCGATGGAGTCAACGAGCGTCCTCGTGATCACGTGGCAGCTGCGCGGGTACCTCGTCATTCCGGGTGGCTTACTGGACGCGCGCGTGACGTCAACGTTCACGCTGAACCAGATCAGCGGCCAGGTCATCAACCACCGCGACCAATGGGACGTCGCCAGCTCAGCGCTGCCCATCCAGCTGGCGTTCTGGGCGTCGCGGCTCGCGTGGTCCACATCAGAGGCGATTAAAGACGTAACGGAGAAGTCCGGGGAGGGGAGCAAGAGCGGAGGCGGGGACTCGAATTATATTTATCCGCACCCGTCCGGCGACCCTAGACGAGTAGGTTACGGGGCGTGCTAATGCGCGTGTATAGTAGTGCGGGGCGTACATGTGGTGGTGGTGTGTATGCGTGCCTGTGGTGGTCTGTGCGTGCTTGCATGTGTGGCTGTGTGGGATGAGAAGGTGCGAGGGCGAGGGAGGGTTTGAGATGCACCAATAGCTGTTGGCCCGGGTGAGGGAGGAGGGGGAGGGAGTGATGGGAGAGTCGGGGGGAAGGGATACGGGGAGTTGAGGAGGAATGGGGAAAGCAACATGCTATAGGCATCCACATCCCGGATCCCTGTCTTTCTTACGTAACCAGGGAGTCAGACTGTTCTGAGATTTCTCAGAATTTAACCACACAAACATCCACCAAGCAACAGCGGTTGTGCCTCACTGGCATCCCATTATCCCATCATGCCATCATGCCATCCCATTATCCCATCATGCCATCATGCCATCCCATTATCCCATCATGCCATCCCATTATGCCATCATGCCATCCCATTATCCCATTATGCCATCATGCCATCCCATTATCCCATCATGCCATCATGCCATCATGCCATCATGCCATCCCATTATCCCATCATGCCATCATGCCATCATGCCATCCCATTATCCCATCATGCCATCATGCCATCCCATTATCCCATCATCCCATCCCATTGTCCCATCATCCCATCATCTCATCATCCCATCCCATTATCCCATCATCCCATCATCCCATCCCATTATCCCATTCCATTATCCCATCATCTCATCATCCCATTATCCCTTCATCTTATCCCATTATCCCATCATCCCATCATCCCATTATCCCATCCCATTATCCCATCATCCCATCATCCCATCATCCCATTATCCCTTCATCTTATCCCATTATCCCATTATCCCATCATCCCATCATCCCATCATCCCATCTTCCCATGATCCCACCCATTATCCCATTATCCCATCATCCCATCATCCCATCATCCCATCATCCCATCATGCCATCATGCCATCATGCTACATGCCATCATGCCATCATGCCATCACCCCATCACCCCCATCCAATCCAACCACCTCTGCCATTTCCATTAGCCTCACCGAACCCCCCTCGCCGCACCATCCCCTCGCCCCACCATCCCCTCCACCCCACCCCATCATCGCCCTCGTACCATGCCGGTTCTGCTTTTGAGACCTCTCAACTCTCAAAACCACGTCAGCATGCTGTTCTGGTAGCGTCTCACAACTTGCACCAGTCGCCGCATTCATCTTTCTCCCGTTCCTGCCATCCCAACCATCGTAGCTTAGCTTCTCTCGCCATCCTCACTGCCCCCATTGCACTGCACCTCATGGCCCCCCATCGTAGCGACGAGGTGTCGCCCCCATTGCAGTGCACCTCATGCTTGCCTTGCTTCTTCCGAACCACTCCCACCACCTCCTCTGCAGTTCATCTAACAGAGCGGCCCCATCAGGACTTTTACCAGGCAGCCTTGTTCATCTGCACCGCGCGCCTCTTTCAACTCCTCTTATCCCCCTATCACTCCCCCTATCACGCCCATCAACCCCTCGACCCTCTCTGCATTTCATCCAGGGCGACCCCAACAAGGACCTGTACCAGGCAGCCTTCTTCATCTGTGCCTTTCCCCTTATCCACTCCTGTTACCCCCCCCTCCCCTTCGCCCTCCATCGCAGTTCATCCAGCAGGGCGACCCCAACAAGGACCTGTACCAGGCGGCCTTCTTCATCGCTCTGCTCTACCTCGTGGTGCAGGCCGTGCAGCTCATCATCTGATCTGATCTGATGTGATCTGATGTGCCTCCTCCTTGCACATTCCGGAGAGGAAGGTCTGGGAGAAGGGACTTGAGTTTACGCTCACGAACGGCGCATTGGTTTTTGAAAGAGATAATGGATGGTGGTGAATGCTGATCAGTGGGTAGTGAGCCTGGTTGCAACATGCAACATGGATATCCCCATCAAAGTCGGCCTCGATTGAAGTGCATTGGGACTTGCCACCTACAGAAGACTTGATGGCAAGCTGACGGCAAAGGCTCCAGCAAGTGTGTTCTTGGTAACTTGGTCTCCGTTATTATACCGCTGGCTGGAAGGTTGTGGAATTGAGACTTTTTTGTGTGTGCATGTGTGTACATTTCTGTGTTTGGGTTGCTTGCTTGACTTGGTACCTTGTTGTGAGTGAAATACTTCTCTTCACCGTATGTGACGCTCTTGCGCCAAGTGATTATACGGTATCTGCACTGCAGCTGTCTGCGAAGGAGCTTTCACCTGCTTTCACAGCATTGAACGACTAGAAGAATAGGAAGCAAATGGATAATATCGTACATTACATCATACACGTTCCAGTTCCATGATGAGCATAGTTGGGTGTACTGTAATCAAAGCACCATTTTTGGAAATCACCAACATTCATGTCGCGCTGGTTTCTTATGTCTAGCTGTACTGGTGAACGAGGTTAGTAAATACCTCCCACGTAAGCGCACAGGAATACGTTTAGTTCCTCAAACCTAAAAACACGTGCGACATTATCATCCCTTGGGTGCCATGCGAGCGTACGTGGCTTCTTGGAAGTTCTCGCTAACATACACCTCCACAAACCCGTTTCGCTGCAGCGCGCGCAAGCACGCGCCCTTTCGCGCTTTCGCATCCGTCACCATGCGATCGTGAAACTCAATCAAGATCTGACCGAACGGCAGCGGCGTTTTCATGCGAAGCCACGCGTCGCACACGTCGAACTCCACCCCCTCCACGTCCATTTTCAACACATCCACGAATCCGTGCCCGTTCCCGCACATAAACGTTGGCAATCGCAGCACCGGCGCCGGCATCCCCTGGCTTTCGAACCGGCCGGCAAGTTTTTCTGGTTTGACGGCCGTCATGGACTGCACGCGCGGGTTCTTGGAGTGGAAGAAGGTGACGATGCCGTCCGTGCCGGCCAGGCCGAGTTGACGGAACTGGAAGGCGGCCGGCTGATCGCGACTGTGGTGGTCCTTGAACATGGCTTGCACGCGCTCGGGGGGAACTGTGGGGTCGAATCCGAACACCTGCAGAACATTTTGGGGAGAGAATTGGAAGAGAGAGACATGGAGTGCGAATGGAATTGGAACAGGCCGGTTTTTGAGTCGACTCAAAAACCGACTCATCACACATGTAGTGCGAATGGAATTGGAACATGGCCTGTAAACCCCAGCTTTTCTCGATTGTCGTGGTCCTTGAAGATGGCTTGCACGCGCTCCGGGGAACTGTGGGGTTGAATCCGAACACCTGGGAGAGAGACGGGGGAGAGAACGAGAAGAGAGGGACGCAGGAAGAGAGGCTGGTGTGAGAAGGGAAAAATAAGGGGGTGGAGTTTTGGTGGTCCCTCAACATGGCTTGCACATGCGCTCCTACAGGACTGGGGACGAATTCGAATTCCTCAAGAAGAGTGGGAGGAAGGACGAGAAATAAGAGAGACGGTGTGAGAATGGGATTGGAAGGCGGAGTGCCAATCCTGGCGGCGTGCTGTGGCGGTCGGCCTTTGAACGTGGCTGACACGTGCGCGGAAATTGTGGGGTCGAATCCGAAGACCTGGAGGAGAGATGGGGGAGAGCATGAGAAGAACGAGAGATGGTATGAGAAGGGCAAAGTAGCCAGAGTTCGACTTCCATGGGACGGCAGCGTGCAACTTGTACCTTTGAGTCGGCTCAAACGCATCTTCTACCTGTCCTGTGGTGGTACCTGTCCTGTGGTGGTACCTGTCCTGTGGTGGTACCTGTCCTGTGGTGGTACCTGTCCTGTGGTGGTACCTGTCCTCTGGTAGTACCTGTCCTCTGGTGGTCGCGTTGCCTGAACATGGCTTACACGCGCTCAGAGGACACACAGTGGGGTCGAAATCCAATCCAATACCGAGAGGAGGAGAGAGGGAGAGACATAGAGATGGTGTGACTATCATGGCTGCGGTGGTGGTCCCTGCGAGAACAGTGCTCCAACATGACGGAGAGATGAGGACAGAGGTGAGGGGGAGGAGCGAGGGGAAGAGAGAGGGGGGGGAGAGGAGAGGGGAGCAACAAGGCAGGTGTGGATTGAGGGACGACATCAGGTGCAGTAACAGTGGCAACGGCTGTTGCCTTGCCACAGAACACGCGACGCATATGCACGTGCTCCCGTGGCTTCTTTTGCAGGCGAGGGCTTGAAGGAAGGGGAGGTGGAGACGTGAGAGGAGGGAGAGAGGGACGGGGGACTGCAGCAGCAATAACGGCAAATGCAAAGTTGGAAACTGGAAAGGACAATGAAAGAAAGGAAATCGGGCTTGGCTGCCAAACATAGGACCATAACTTGTTCGGGATAGAATCAGACAAGGTGGGGGTGAAATAGACGGCAGACTCGAAAACAATGACGTATAAGGTGGGAACAAGAGGCGAGAGAACCTAATATGCCATACTGTGCCATGCGATGCCATGCCATGCTATGCCATGCCATGCCATGCCATGCCATGCCATGCCATGCCATGCCATGCCATGCCTGCTACCCCTCCTTCATCGTGCCACTCGCTCACTCACCCCCCATCCGCACAGTTTACAGAATGGAAAGACCTGCAGCGAGTGCTGCTCTCCGCCATGCCATGCCAATCACGTGGTGCATGTGGCTAGTACCAACCACGTGGTGCATGTGGCTAGTACCAACCACGTGGTGCATGTGGCTAGTACCAACCAAACAACCTCGACCATCAAAAGCAGGAGATGAAGCTTGAAGCGGCTCCAATGTACGTGCAGCACAGGCCACGAAAACACATACCTTACGAGCTACGAGACAAGCACATACCTTACGCCCCACGCTCCCCCCACTTTACATTCCGTAAAACACAATAGATAAGGGACAAGCTATGAGAAAAGCATGCACCTTATGCCCGCGGTTGACCATCCCGTTGTCAAAGGACACGTCAGCGCCGATGCCAAACGAGTACACGACGCCACCTGGCCGCACGTGATTGGTGCAGAGGCTCCACGCACCGTAGTCGTCCCCCCCTCGGCCCCCCACCTTCTCCAGCTTGCACGTGTCGTGCCGCACGAGATGCAGCTGAGACTCGTCCACTCTGGTAGGAGGACATGGGCATTAGGAGGACATGGGCGGGCGGGGAAGATGTTGAACGAGAATGGTGAGTAATGCTAACCCATCCTTCACCGCTGCTCCAGCTTCCATGTCTCGTGCCGCACCAGATGCAGCTGAGACTCGTCCACTCTGTTAGGAGGACGTGAGCAGGACAACAGAAGGTGTTGCGGTTTTACCATCCTACGCCGCTTCTCCAGCTTGCATGGTCATGGCGCACCAGATGCCGCTGAGACGCATTCATCCACACTGCTCAAGGGAGCGGTACGGATGAGAACAAGAGGTTCCGGGTTTCCAATATTGCAAAGCATGTCAAGCAAGCTTGCATGCCTCGTGCCGCACCAGATGCAGCTGTGTGACTCATCCATCCTGCCAGGAGCATCCGGAAAGGTGGATATGGCAGTGGGAATGGAAACAAAAGCTTTCGGGTTTTGGGGTGCTGCTGCAAGGAAGGTATGTGAGGGGCACTCATCCAGCTGGTGTGTTGAGAATTAAGCTGAACCAGGATCAAGTTTCATCAAGGAGTTGCTGACCCATCAAGGGGTAGCTTGAGAATTAAGCTGAACCAGGTGGCAGGTGCGGCCTCAGACTCATCTATGTGGTAGTAAAGGGACGGGGAAGGGAGGGGGAGCAGTGAAGGGTGTTGTTCGTAATGGGATATTCTAATATTAATTTAACACTCACTCATACGGTTCATGTGAGCCACCATGATGTGAGAAACGTGGCTAGAGTGATGAAGCAAGGAACAGCATAGGGGGGCGGCATGGATAAGACAAGACAGCAGCTCGCGCAGGATTCAGAATTCCCTGCTGCGTGTGCCTGCAACCTCTGTACTTCGCAACAAGGGAGTCGTGATGTGGACAAGTGTCGGGGAAAGAGGCTCGAAAGTGAAACTCTGGTGGGGGTTGGGGGCACGCGTAAAAAGTGATTTTATTAGACGTCTCAAAAAAATCACTTTTTACACAAGGGAGTCGTGATGTGGAACAAGTGCAGGGGAAAGAGGCTCGAAAGTGAAACTCCCCTGGGGGTAGGGGGCAGCTGCAGGCCTCTTTGACTCGAGTCAACGGGAGTGAGACCCCTTGACGTGAAGCGAGTCAAGGGGCAGCCAGAGTCGGAATGACAGATGGACTGGGTCAACCAGGGTCCGACGGGAGGAGAATGAAAGACGGAAGGGAGGAGGAAACAAACCAGGGCGAAGACTATGGAGGCCAACACTCCCCAATCAAGTGACATTCTCTGAACAATTGCCCTTGTTTACTAAGAATCGGGGTGTATTGTGCACATACCCGTTGAAACTTCGCGGCTGGGGCTCCATTTGGGATGACTTGTGCTCGTTCCGTTGCTGCTGACGTGGATCGCCCTGATTGGTCAGCTGATCGGCCTGCTCTTGCTGATGCTGCTCCCGCTCCTCCTGCCCCACTGCCTGCTGCTGGTGCTGCTGTTGTTGAAACGGCTGTCGTTGCTCCTCCTGTTGCTGACTCTGCCGCTGCTGCTGCTGGTAGTTTTGCTGGGAATTCAATTCCTGCCCGTTCTGCCAGGAAATCTCCAGCTGCCCGCGGTGCAAAATCCCCCCTCCTATTCCATCACCCCGCCATCCGTTCGCGTCATTGGCCCCCTGCTGAGATGTAACGGCAGAACCGTACGAGCCCTGCTGCGCGCCGGCGGCGTTGGAACCGTACTGTAACGCGTACGCGTCGTGGCGGCACTTGCAACCGAGCTCGTACTGGCGGAAGATGTAGAGCTGCGTGGCGAGGCCCAGCACGCACAGGATGTGCCACGGCTTTATCTGCGCGGTCGCGTAGTTAAACGCCGATAGCGACGTCGGCGTTGCGGACCGCGCGTGCAGCGGCCTTCGCAGAAGGTTCTGATGTCCGCGATGCCATGATGACGATGACATTGATGGTGCTAACGTGTGCACGGAGTGCTTATTTTTTTTAGGTCGTTCGGAAACAAAACGAAGAAGGCCGGCGTATGAAAGGAATAACGGATTTAGCAATATTTAAACATGTAAAATGTCGAAGGAGAGCTACAGTAGCTTTGGCCAAGGTCCGACATTTGAATAAAGATCTCTAGGCATTGGGAACGCATTGGCGCAGCTTGAATAGCAGCCGCTGGCCTCAGCAATATTATCTTTGGTACACCATAGCTCCTGGCAGCAGATGCGAGATCGGAGCGCAATTCACGGAAGCAAAGCTGGCGCAGAAAATAGGCGTACTTGAACTGAAACTAGGTGGTGGTGGAGGTGGTGGTGCTGCTCTGCTCCTTGGTCAGTACCAACGCTGTACAGGCATCCTTCGCAGTCCAGGCGCCGTAACATCACTCAGTTGTGTTTCGAAGGTAACTTATTTGAGTGACCTGTCGCACGAAAGAGGCCTGACAGTAACGCGGACAGAGGTGAATGATTTACCTACCGCATTCACCTTCCCGTCAGATGTCTTTCAGCGGCGAGAGACAGCCACCTTCCCATCAGATGCTTGTTCAGCGGCAACTGTACTCGTTATTGGCACTTCTCTGCACTTCACGCCTAAGAATTTGAACATGGGTGAAAAATGGTGGTACAATCTTGATTCTCCCCGCCTTGCTGGCAGCTTGATCCTACGTGTACATTGTGACATAGTTACAAATTAAAACGAAATACGAGGAGTTTGGCGAAGACTTCATTGTGTGGTAATGTGACAACCGCGTGAGCTGTTGTACAGTAATTCGGTGGCGCAGCAAGATCTCTGACGGTGACACTGCTGCCCGAATCATTAGTACGCGGCATCAGGTACTGTACAACCGCGTTGGAAACCGCGTTTGCCACATCGCGCGGCTCGTTGTCTGAAGAATGCGCGGCTCGAAATTTTCGAGATCCTACAAATAGCCCAAGCATCGAATTTCGTAGTTCAACAGTTACGGCTGAAACACAAGCCCCATCTCCCTTCACATTCCTTATCCCCGCTTCCTCCGTGAACCCGCTGAGCGAAAAGCCGTGAATTAGCAAAAATCAGACAAAGCACACTTGCTCGTTCTAACGAGCCTTGACGTCGGAATGTCCTTCGCAGGCGCGCCCGCAAATGAAGACAGCGAGAGCTCGCTTCCCCCTGGATTCAGGTTCCATCCCACAGATGAGGAGCTCCTCTCCTTCTACCTACCCCGCAAAATCGGCAACCAGCCCATCCCGCTTAACGCGATCGGCGACATTGACATGTACGGATTTGAGCCATGGGAGCTTCCGGGAAAGGCGATGGTGTCGCTTAATGGTAGCGATGAGTGGTTTTTCTTCGCGTCGCGCGACAGAAAGTACCTCATGGGCACGCGCGCCAATCGGATGACATCATCCGGCTACTGGAAGGCCACGGGGAAAGATCGGCCCGTGTACGCCTCGCGCAAGGAGGGAAACGAAACCCAAGGCGGCCGGGAGGAGGGCGAGTCGGTTAAAGATGCCAAAAGCGGCCGCATTGTCGGGTATAAGAAGGGCCACGTGTTCTACAAAGGCAGGGCGCCGCGGGGGGAGAAGACGGCTTGGGTGATGCACGAGTACCGGCTCGTAGAACCTAGTGACGACCCGGACTCGCTGATCGGTAGCACTGTTGAGGAAGCTTCGCATGGTGGCGCCGTTAGTGGCAAGTCAAGTGAGGGTGGTAGGAGAGTAGCGTCGGGACGAGCGGGGGTTCCCAGCCCCGCAACACACCGACAGAAGCAGCAGCAACAGCTACTACAGCAGCAGCAGCAAGGGACGTCGACGTGGGTGGTAATTCGCCTCTACAAACGCGACGCGATCCCGTTTCAGGGCGACGCGGCGAAGCGAAGCAAGCTGGGCAGTCTGAGGAAGGGACTTACATCATCGCACCACGTCAAGTCGATGTCTTTGCCTTCGTCCCCGCAGGAACTCGCGTCCGCCAAGTCGTGGCCCGCTTCGGACTCCCTCGATGATGGTGTGGATGCGGAATCTGCGGAGGATGACGTCACCGCTGCCGAGGAGAGTGATGGGATGAATGCGGCGCCTGTAGCATCTGGCGAGGGACCCATTGAAGCCGATCTACTGCATGGTAGTAGCAGACTCGTGACGCGGGTTACTACCGCGAGCTCTGACATCGTCGGCAGGCACAGCGAGGAGGGTACATTCTCCAGAGACGACGGGAGAATCAGTGTAGTGAAAAGTGCGGGGGAGGCTAGTAACATTTGGATGAGGATGGACAGTGACGGAGGGAGCGCTCCTGACAGTGGACTCTTCTCAACGGAACCACGAAATGCGAACGCTCAGCCGCAACTTGCGATCACTGCAAGTGGCAGCAGCGAAAACCCACCGAGCTGGAGTTTCCATGGGTCAGCGCCGGTGGCACGAGTGCCATCGGCTCACACCATCGCGTCCTTGGAAGCGCTTCTGCTGGCAGATGATAATCCGGATGTCACGGAACATGTGAGTCATGACGCGATGACGTGGGCTCCACATGACGTGTCCCATCAAGTGGATGTGACCCAGGATGCGACTTGGTGGTCTACACCCACGCAGAACGATGGGCCGTCGGGAGTTGCTGGCTCTCAAGCGGGCTATGACCGCATCAGTTGCTCTTCTGCCATGGGTGCAGTTCTCCACTCCGCAGGAGCAGCTTGACAAGGAAGTCGCCGAAGCGCTGCAGCAAGTGTCGCACATGCCTCAGTTGCCTCACATGCACACGACAACAGAACCATCCAACCTGGCCTCCCTCCTGTTCGCTAACCTTGCATCTCCTCCTATCTTCCAGTCCGTCCCCTTCGTGTCTTTTCCATCATCCATGCCCTTCACTCAGTCCGCGCCAACCACCACCTCTCATGGATCATTCACACAGCCAGAGGTTGGAAGCACGGAAAAGCAAAACCAGAGCGGTGGTGAAGGAGCGACAATGTCGGGTGGAGGTGGTTCTGTTGATTCACCACCTGGGTCGCGGTCGAAAGGCAGGAAGTCACCAAAGAGGGACCGAGAGGGAAAGCTACTCGAATGAGTAATGATTCGAAGAAATATCAATTCTGAGTAGTGGTAATAACAGCTTCTTTTTCTTTTTCTTTTTCGTCGTAGATTCATGTTCACGCTTTTTTAAGTTGGTTTCTCGAGGCGAATTCAGCCCAGCATGGTTGTCTGTTCTCTTCCTCTGATTCTGTTGAAGGCGATGTCAGGTTGCACAACTTCAGTAAGCTCCCTGCAGCCAACTTAGTTTCATCACGGCGCAAAACGACACACCTTGAGAACCGCTTCTCACCGTGTGAAACCGTCCTGAGCCACGATTCAAGAACTGAAAATGCACGAGAGACGTAGAACCTGACATCGCTATCAGTGAATGAGTGGGAATTTTGGAGTCCCAAACACAAATCAGTTTTATGCTCAGCCACGAAGGTTGGTTTCTCGAGGCGCGCATGTGCGCGTGGTTTGGAGCTTCCAGGCTCCAGCATTTCCGAGGTGCAAGGAAGGACGCTTTGCTCATCTCGCAGCGCGGTTGACCGCAAAGACGAGCACCAACCAGGAAGGTCAGTGCTCCTGACTCGCAAATGCAACTGGTGCTGCGAAGCTGCTATCCCGTGATCCTTCCAAGCACCAGTCGCGATAACGTGCTCCAGTCGCCTCTAGCATGGGCTCCACTATGGAGGCCCGTCGCCTCCGTTTCGATGCTGAGGGACGCCCGATCGAGTTCGGTACCTGGCAGCGCCAGACCACACGTTTCCTCACTAGCCAGCGCCAGGACGGCGCCACTCTGTGGGCCCACGCGTCGGGTGCTCTCGCGGCACCCCCGTCCCCCGCCGCCCTGCCGACCACCCCGGAGCCGACTCCTACCGCCCAGGCGGACTACGACCGTCGGGTCCTGGCTCGGGACGTGTGGCTCTCTCGTGACGCGGCCGCCGCCCTCACGCTATCAGAGCTTCTCCCCCCGACTGAGGCCGCTCACTTTGACCAGGTGGAGACAACCAAGGGGGTTTGGGATGCTATTGTGGCTCGCTATTCCACCCCCTCCTTCGCCTCCCTCAGTCGCCTCCTCATGCCGTTCGTGTTTCCCGACCTAGGCTCGTTTGCGACTGTTTCCGACCTAATGACTCACCTCCGCTTGCTTGACGCCGGTTTTCGTGCTGCCTGTACCGACGCACAGCTCCTTGTTGCTCCCCCCCCCCATGTGGCTCACTGTGCACTGGTTAATCACCCGCCTCCCTGACTGCCTTGCCACTGCCCGTGACGCGCTTCTTCAGAAGCACCCCACTGAGCTCACTATAGACCTCCTTCAGACTGCTCTCGGGACCATCAAGAGCAGCCTCCTTACCGTTGCCTCCGCCACTGAGGCGGTGGCCCCCCGTCTCTTTGCGGGGTGTGCCGCCCCTCAGCCTCCCACTTTCACCTCTACCCGCGCTTCTGTTGCTGTGTCGGTCTCTGAGGACACCGCTGCCGTTTCTGCCGCAGACTAGCAGAAACGGGGCAAGAGTGGCAAGAAGGGCGGGAAGGGGGGAGGTGGGGGCGGTGGAGGTGGGAGCGGCGGTGGTGGCGGAGGCGGCGGCAGCGGCGGCGGTGGTGCGCCAGGGGGAGGAGGCCTTGGAGGAGGTGCAGGACAGACAGGCCCACCCACAAGTGGTGGCCTGATCGGTGGGGGCGTTGCCCCCCAACAGCAGCAGCCACAGCAGCACCAGCCACAGCAGCAGCAGCAGGGACAGCAGCAGCAGCAGGCACAACAGCAGTTCCAGTAGTGGGGCCCCCCGCTGCAGTAGGGTCCGCAGCAGCACTGGGGTCCCCCGCCGCAGTGGGGTCCGGGAGGCCCTGGGAGCACCGACCGCAGCAGCAGCTCTTCCAGCTGGGCCCCTCGCCGTGACGCTGGCCCCTGCACCCACTGGTGCCTCACCGAGCCGGGCAACCCCTGTCTCTGTGGTCGCGACGACCACTCTGCCGCGCGGTGCTTCCGTCGCCTCGACGAGCGCTCCGGTCTAGGGTTTAGGGTCTAAGCCGTGCTCCGGTCTCTACATTCTCCACACCGAGCGCTTCCCGGTCGCGTCCTCCCCTCAGGTCTTTGCGTCCCCTCCGGCCCAGGTCCTCAGTCCAGTTGATGTGTCTAGCCAGGTAGTCGTGTCCAGTCCGGTCGCTGCGTCCAGTCCAGTCCAGTCGTTGCGTCTTGCTCCTGTCGCTCTCTCGCCCACCGCACCGTCCTGTGGCACCACCGCCTTGGCCACCCGTCGATCCCTTGCCTTCGTGACATGCTCAGTCAGGGACTTGTCATAGGTCTCCTACGCACCTTCCCGTCGCTCCCTCCCTCGCTTGCCCCTCCTTGCTCTCCGTGCGTCGCGGGTCGCTTACGCGCCACTCCCCACTCCTCCTCCCTTCGTCCGGCCACCGCTCCCTTCGAGACTCTCCTCTTGGACGTCTGGGGCCCTGCCCCGACGCAGGGGTCTGGGAGAGAGCGTTACTTTCTGGTGGTCGTCGACGACTACTCCAGGTACACCACAGTGTTCCCTCTTGCGAAGAAGTCCGAGGTGACTGCTACGCTGATCAGGTGGCTTCTAGCCACTGAGGGCACTCGTGGTCGTCGAGTCAGTTGTCTTCACTTCGACCGTGGGGGCGAGTTTCGCTCCGGCATTCTCGGCGGATTCTGCGGCGAACAGGGCATCACCCAGTCCTGGACGCTGCCAGAGTCTCCACAACAGAATGGGGTTGCTGAGTGCCGCATAGGCTTGGTTATGGACATCGCCCGCACATCCATGATCCATACCCGTGCGCCCCATTTTCTGTGGCCTCACGCGGTTCGCTACGCCGCATACCAGCTGAACCTCCAGCCGTGTGTCTCGCGGCCCGAGGCTTCACCGACCAGTCTTTGGACTGGTTCCCCTGGTGTTGGGTCGGCCTTTCGAGTCTGGGGCTGCCTTGCACTTGTTCGCGACACCTCCGCAGACAAGCTCTCGGCATGCGCCGTCCCCTCTGTCTTCCTTGGTTTCCCAGTGGACTCTGCCGACTGGTCCTTTTACCACCCGCGCCTCCACCAGTTCCTCGACTCCCGTGACGTCCGGTTTGACGAGTCTGTGTCCTACTACACCCGGTACCCCTGTCGAGGTCTCCCGGTACCCCTCCCCCCCCCCCCCCCTTGTTCCTAGCACCCTCTCCTCCTCCTGCTCCTGCTCCTCCGGTACCCCCACCCCCCCCTGGTCCTGCCCCATCTGGTGTGTCCCACGCTACCCCTCTACCCTCGGTCGCGCATCAGGTAGCGTCTCCCTCCCCGCAGTCCTCCTCGCAGTCCCCTTAGCAGCCTTTGGCACTTCCGCGACAGGTTACTATGGACTCGGTTGGTGTTGGAGCTGGAGGTGCAGCCGCTGGCGGTGCTTGATCTAGGGGTGCTCGGTCGCGGGGTGCTGGAGCTGGAGGTGCTGGCGCAGGTGGCGCTGGCTCTGGGGGTGCTGGAGCTGGAGGTGCTGGCACGGGAGGTGCTAGTTCTGGGGGTGCTGGAGTTGGCGGTGCTAGCACTGGCGGTGCTAGTTCTGGGGGTGCTGGAGTTGGAGGTCCTGGCACTGGAGGTGCTGGTTCTGGGGGTGCTGAGTTTGAGGAGACTGACGCTGGAGACTCTGGTTCTGCGGAGTCCATTCCGCCTCCCCACCGCCACGACACGCGTCTCCAGGCTGCCCGTCAGCGTGAGCGTGAGGAGCAGGAGTGGTTGGAGAGGGAGCGGCGGGAGCTGCAGGTGCTGGACCTTCTGGAGCAGCAGCGGCAGCAGCAGCAGCAGCAGCAGCAGCAGCAGCAGCAGCAGCAGCAGCAGCAGCAGCAGCAGCAGCAGCAGCAGCAGCAGCAGCAGCAGCAGCAGTAGCAGCACCAGCAACAGCAACAGCCGCAGCAGCAGCATCCGCAGCCGCAGCCGCAGCAGCCGCAGCCACAGCAGCCGCAGCCGCCACCGCAGCTTCCTCTTGAGCGGCAGTTGTTCCCACCTGTGAGTGGCCTGCGGGCCCTTGGCCTTTCCTCCTCTCCTCTTGTCCGCTCCCAGTCTCCTCCTGTGTTTGTTCCTCCGTTGCCTCCTCCTGACGACCGTCCGGTGGTCTGGTTTTCTCCTCCTCGGTCTCCTTCTCACTCTGTTCGTCACGACTTGATCACTCGTTGTCCTCCTCGTGCTCGGCACTCGTCCCCTGTTATTGACCTCCACACTGCCCTCCTTTGTTCGTCTCGTTGTCGTTCTCCTTCTCCTGTGTCCGTTCTCTCGTCTCCTCCTCCGTCCTCTCTCCCAGCCCTCCCCACTCCTATCACTGACTACTACCGCACTGTTCGTCCTGTTGCCACACGTGTCCTCTCCACTCTTGTCACTGACTCTCGTTTCCCTCCGTCGTCTGCCTCGGCTCTTACTGCCGCTATCGCTGAGTTTTCTGCCGCCAGCCACCTTGAGTACACCACCCGGGTGGTGCCAGCTCCTCCCTACCGTCCTCTCTCCGTCGGGGGTGGGTTTGCCCTTGGTTGTGACGTGCTAGAGGATAGAGAGTCTGAGCTGGAGTACTGGGCAGCCGCTTCTCCCTCTGTGTGTGCCATGCTGCTCTCCCCTGAGGGAGATCCTGACGCCCTTGACATACCGACTCCTCGCACTTACTGCGAGGCAGTATCAGGGGCGTGGGCCTCTCAGTGGAAAGCGACTATGGAGA